CAGCTGCAAGGAAGCTGGACTGTGATGTGTTTTAGGCTGGAGGTGGTGACTTCCTGAAGAAGAATGGCAGTTCTGAGAGTGAGAAAGACAGGGCTTTGGGTCAAGAGTCAGCAGGGTTAGTCACACCTTCCTGGAACTCACCTACTGCGCTCTAGCTCCTTCTTTGAGGCACACTCTGACCTCCAGCTGCTCAATCCCACCTCTCTTTGCACCTCAGGTGAGAGTTTCCATCTGCCACAGACCACCATCCCAGCAATGCCTTTCTGCTGCCATCACAAGCCCCCCACCAAATACGAATTACCCTCAGGCAGGCCTCAGAGTGCCAGCGACAGGTCTTTCCATAGCCTCCTAGGGCCTGACCAGCCACAGGGATGCTGGTGGCTAGGGAGAGGCAAGGGAGGACCCCCAGTTCTCATAGGAGTAACGGGGGATGCAAGCCCCCCTCACCTGACCACATGGGCTAATTTTTGTAAAATGACCGTGTAAACTGCAAAGAGTAAGAATACCAGAGGGCTGAGTGTGGTGGCTCATGCCTGTAATTTCAACACTTTGGGAGGGCGAGGTGGGAAGATTGCTTGAGTTCAGAGTTCAAGACCAGCCTGGCCAATATAGCAAGATGTCATCTCTATTGTTTAATAATAATAATAAATTAAAAAGGATACCAGAGGCATCAGGTGATAGTGGTGAGAATCCTCTCGGGGGACCTGAAGGCTGAGCCCTGACTCCACCAGCTCTCTGGGGCTGCAGGTCCTGAGGCTGCTAAGGACATGTGACCCGGCCAGTGGCCCAGAGCTCCCAGCCTCCAGCCCTCCAGGCTGCTCTGCCCTTGCTCCCCAAAGGAGGGGACTGTCTGGGACTACATCTTACTCTAGAAAATTACTCTGTTTCCAGATGGCTGGAGACCAAAGCCATGTCATTTGCTGCAGTCTCTGCATATGGGAGCTGGGCCAGCAGGATGCCCGGGGACACTGCAGGGTCTCTGAGAGAGGCTGCAGAGCTTCTCTCATCAGCAGTGCAGTGTCACTGCAGCTGCCCACTGCCTCCAGGCCCCAGTGTCGGTCCTTCCGCCCTTCACCTGCTCTGAGTCACTTGTCATGGTGGGCGACAGCAGAGTTGTGCAGGGAGACCTCACAAGCATCTTGGGCCTCTAGTCCCAGGACTGATGCGCATTTGGCCAGGTAGAGGCCTTGCTGAAGGAGGGAGGGGGGCACTGTGTACTTTTCATACCCCCATTCTTCCTTGGGGAACAGACGAGTCTTAGCTCTGCCCTGTGACATCAGCAAACCCTAGGCCTCCATTTTTCTAGTAGCCTAACATAGCTCTAGCTCCTATTCTTTGAGGTAGACTGACACAGGTTTGCATTTTTAGCATTTAGCAGCAATGTGGAATTGAGCCTCTGTTGTAGCTAATAAACATCTTCTATATTCCAGGTGTTTTCTTATTTAATCTTCACAGTGACTCTGCGGAGGTACTGCTATTACTCCCATTTTACAGATGAGGAAACTGAGGCTCAGACAATTGATTAGGATTAAATTTAGTGGCTGATGGCAACAAGCCCCAAGTACCAATGGCTTGAGCAGGATGGCTTCTAAGAAGGCCAAAAGGTATATATTTATTTCTCTAGCGTGTAGAAGTCCAGGGTAATTGTCCACACTGGTTCTAAAGCTCTCGTCATCAGGGCCCAGCTTTCTCCTATCTTGTGGCTTCCCAAGGTCACCCAGAGGACTACACCTTCTCTTTAAAGATGCTCCTGGAAGGTGCCCATGCCTCTTCTGCTTGCATCTCGTTGGTCAGAACTTAGTGACATCTAGCAGCAAGGAAAGCTGGGAAATATTGTGTTTGTTTTGGCTGGTCCTATGCCCACTAAAAACTGGCATTTTGTTGCAGTAAAGACAGGAATGGTTAAAAGCGTAGACTTCCCATTAAGTTGGACTGCCTAGGTTCAGTTTTGATTCCGTCACTTACCAATGTATGACCTTGGTAGTTCCTTCATTCACTATTCAACAACTGTTCATTGGGCATCTATTCCGTCCTAGGCACTATTCTAGGAGCTGGGGCTACAGCAGTGAACAAAAAGACAAAAATGTTGACCTTTGTGGAATTTATGTTCTAGGGGAGGGAAATCAGAGAGCTAATAAGGAAGACAGGATGCTTTATGTTTGATTTATGTTGTAAAGTATTCGCGTTGGGAGAAAAGCAAGGAAGGGACAGGAGGTGCGGTCTTCCTCAGAGGTTGGGTGGTGCCCTCGCAAGGAGCTGGCTCTTGAATAAAGACCTGGAGAATCTCTGGGGGAGAATGTTCCAAGGAGGGAGAACTTTTGTGCAAAGGCCCTGAGGTAGAAGCGTGCCTGGCTTGCTGAAGGAGTAGCAAGGAGGCAGACTGAGGGCAGGCAGACTTTGGCATCAGGACCTGAGTCCTGCGCTGGGGTGAGGCGAGGTTGCGAGAAGAGGGTGATGAGGGAGGAATGACGGACAAAGCACAGATCCCTGGCTACAGAGCTGAGGACAGACTGAAGGGGCAGAGAGAGTAGGAAGCTCGGCAGGAAGCTGCCAGGACTTTCCAGAGGGAGGTGTTGGGAGAAGGCCAGGGTGAAGGGGGTGCTGTGGGAGTGAGCGAGTCTGGGTGTACTGTCTTTTGAAGGGGAGGGCGGGAGGATTTGCCAGCACGTCTCCTGTGGAATATGAGGGAGGAGGCAAGGATGACTTTGTATCGGCCCGAGGGACTGGAGGGTAGAGCTGCCTATTTATCAGGAAGGGGACGGCTGTGAGTGAAGCCAGTGTGGGGCCGGGGAAGGAGGGGAGCGTGAGGAAGGTGGGTTTGGACGTGTTGACTGTGAGGACCTGGTGGACTCCCAGCCGGAGGTGGGAAGGCAGGTAGCCCCGTGAGCCTGGAGAGCAGGGAGACGCCCACGCTGGGGACATTAATGTGGGACTCATCAACCTTAGATGATATTTACAGGCAAAAGGCTGAAATGAGGTTAAGGAGGCAAGATGACTATTTAATCTCTGTAGGCCTCAGCTTCTTCATCTGTGTGATGAGAATTAAATGCAGTGAAATTGAAAGCACTTAGGTCGCTGCCTGGCATACCTGTTTGTCATGGGGTGACTGCTGTTGCTCCATCAGCCTACTGTATTTACTATCTGGCAGTGAATGGCGGGGGAATGGCGGGGGGGTGGTTGTATCAGGGGCTCTAGAGGAGGGCTGCTGAGAATGTCCTATGATCGCCTCACCTTGACATTCAAGGCTCTTTGCAGCTCAGCCCACCTTCCAGACTTAACACCTGATGCCTCTCCCTCGTAGACCCTCCGTGTAGTCTCTGCTCCCCTCACTCTGCCCTGACCACTCCTGTTGAGCACCCCAACAATGTGGCTCCTTCTCTGCTACAGTTCCTGGAGACCTAGCACTTCTTCCAACCACCCTCTCTGTGGGCCCACACCCCTCAGAGGCCCACTGAGCCCTGCAGTGGCCCTGAAGGGGCAAAGGATGCTCTCCAAAGGGCTCTGTGGGAACCCAGGTTATGTGGACCCTGGCTGTCCAGTGTTCAGGGGTTATGAAATGACTGTATTTTCTGGCCCAAAAAGGAGGAACAAGGTCTGATGAGGGTCAGGGCACTCCCCGATTGGCAGGATCGTAGGCAGGAACCGGACATTGTCCTGGAAATCGGGGACACCTGGGCAGTGGCTACAAGTTGAAGACTCAAGCAGCCTCGCCACACAGGGGTCAGTAAGGCCACAAGAGACACAGTGCCGTCCCCGCTGCCACCTGCCCCCGTGACCCCGTGGTGCCCAGGTGCATACCATGCCACAGCAGTGCCATGGGCTACTGTCGGGGCGAAGCCATGTATGAACCACCCATGGCCTGAAGGCTCTCTGTCCCCTCTTCCCCCACCCTTTTTCTGACAGTCATGCCTTGCCTGGGGTGAGGGAATGAGCCCATTCATACCCATTTCTAGTCTCCATGTCAAGAAGAAAGCCACAAAGGGTGGGGAGGCATACTGCCTCTCATTCTCTAAGACTTCGAGGGCACAGCCAGAGTCCTTGTGACAGGTCTCCATAAACGGGCTGCAAGGACCACTGTCCTCCCTCCATTGTGGTGGAGAGGGCACATGCCCGGTCATACAGCTACTACACCAGGACAGGACCAGGCACTCTTGTTTCTCCACACAGCCCAGCTCCCAACCACCAAAAGACATCCTGACTTCTGAGTCTCGAGGTAGAGATTTCCATGGCATGGTGGTTGATGCGGGACTGGGAAGTCTACCAGCTGGGTTGAAATCCCTCACTCCGCTCCCTGGCAGTATGGATAACTGTAGAACTCCTCTGTGACTCACTTTCCATTTGGTGAAATAAGACTAATGAAAGGCTGATGGTGAAGATTTGGTGACTTAAAATAGGTAAAGTTAGCCGGGCTCGATGGCTCAGCCTGTAATCCCGTGCCTTTGGGAGGCTGAGGTGAGTGGATTGCCTGAGCCCGTGGGTTCGAGATCCACCTGGGCGGCAAGACCTCATCTCTACAATAAATTTAAAAATCACCGGGCGTGGTAGCGCGCGCCTGTAATTCCAGCTACTCAGAAGGCTGAGGCAGAAGGATCACCGGAGCCCAGCAGGTCGAGGCTGCAGTGACCGGAAGCGGCCACTGCACTCCAGTCTGGGCAACAGAGTGAGACTCCAAATCAAAAATAAATAAATAAATAAAATAGGTAAAGTTCTCAGAACAGGTCTGAGCATACAGTAGGCAATCACTCAATGCTTGGTATCATGATTTCGAGCGCGCCATTTAGCTCCAAGTTTGTCTGCAACCTACCTGAAGCTACGGAGCCACCCCTGAGCCTGCCCAGGTCTCCCTGAGTCCTGGGTTCTAGACCCACTGAGGGCCTCCCAGAGGCTGATGGGCATCTGTGGGGTCCTGGCTAGTGCCATAGGCCCCTGGAACTCCTCATGGCCACTTCCCATTTCAGCCCCCAACTCCCTTCAAGGCAGGCCCTGCCTCTTCCTTGCAGATTTTAATGAGAATGGCTTCATTGATGAGGAGGACCTACAGAGGATCATCCTACGACTACTGGACAGTGACGACACATCTGAGGACCTGCTGATAGACCTCACAAACCACGTGCGTACCGAGGGACAGGGATGGGGAGAGGAGGGCAGGTTGTCACCCAAAGCCTCTGGGTGCCAGAAAGGAGACCTAGGGCCACGCCCAGGCAGACAGCACAGTGGCCTTTGGTTCACATGTTCCCCGGCATCTCTGAGAAACAGGCACACAGCTGGAGGCAACAGCCCCTCAGTTTCCTGTACTTCCTCTGAGACCCTCCCACGGTCCCCAGAGCAGTGCGCCCAGCCCACCCCCACAGCAGGGAGTACACGCAGGTAGGCCAACAAAAGCTCAGCCTCACCTGGACACATCACAACATCCCCCCATGTTGTCCCAGGCCAGCACATACCCAGATATCCTAGAGTGACAAGACATGAGGGCAGCCCCACAAACCCAAGACTGGGCATGCACCTTTGTTCTCAGACCATGACAACCATCTAGTGGTTCTGGTCCAGATGTGGACTAGAAGAAAGATAAAACTACAAGCACTGTTGAGGGAGTCACCACTGCTTCCCTACCAACCTGGGCCCTTGTTCTTTCGCCACCCAGGCTCGTACTAGAGGCCACAAGGAATGAGATGCCCCCGACGAGGTCCCAGATCTTAGTGCAGATAACTTCATCTCTCTGTGGGAGGAGGCTGGGAATATCTCTCACGGGAGTCAGGGACCCAAGTGCTAAGCACCTGGCAGAGACCCTGGCATAGGGCGACCACTGGGCACAGGCACTTCTCTCCCTTCCCCTGTGCTCCCAGCTCACTGCTGGGCACCAGGCTCCACTCAGCCGCCTTCTGCACCCCCCACTCCATGGCCAGGTCCTGAGCGAGTCAGACCTGGACAATGACAACATGCTGTCCTTCGCAGAGTTTGAACACGCGATGGCCAAGTCTCCAGATTTCATGAAGTAAGACGTTCTGGAGGGGGAGGGGCTGCCGGGAACAGTAGGGGTAGGAAAGGTCCTCGGGTCTCCCCTCAGATGCCGAGAAGCATCTCAGTCTTCTCAGAGAGCTCATGAGTCCAGGGCACTTTGAAGATTCTTCTAGAATCAGCAAAACTGGAACTTCTAAGAAGTTAGGTAGCCTTGGAGTATTAAAAGGTAGAAGGAGAATTGGAGTCCAGGCTTTGAGGATGGCGTGAGGGTACCCCTCGACAGAGCGTGTGCCCCTCGACAGTCAGCCTGTGTATCTTCCCCAAGGCCCCCTGGGCTCCAGGACTGACCTGGGGCCCCACCTCGGCCACTGTTATTCCTTCTCCCCTCCCCCATGGCTCCCGGCAGTGACAGGGATGTGAAGATGCTGGTGGTGGAGCTCACAGAAAAAATAAACTTACTGAGACATCTTAGAGCTCTGATGGCCTTCTGAGGTCCAGACACCCTTGAGATGCTTGACCATCTCCCATCACCCTGGCCACATTGACGTCTTTTACGGATGCTTTCAACTACAGGAGACACCCGCCCCCTGGAGGCAGCCTGTGTCATGACTGAAGAGCCCTTGTGAGGCCCTTCCTTGTGCTGAGCTGGTGTCTGTTAACATGTCTTCCACTCCTGAGCTCAATTCTGCCCCCTTGGTATCATAGTCTTAATGATATTGATGCAAGGATGTGTGCTCACTCAACATGTTTTAACAAAGGAACCAAAACAGAACAGAGAGCTAGACCCCAGGGAGCACCAAGGAAGGAGCCGGGAGTAGTGCTCTCTCTCTCTTTCTCCCCTCCCCTTCTGGACCAGTGTCTCTGCCTCTCTTGGTCCCTCCACACTCAGTTTCACACTGTGTACCAGCTATATGAAGCCAAACACAGTCTCCCTGCAGTGGTCAAGCTTAGGCCTCCTTGGTTTTGCATGTCCTTCAGTAACTCCTAAGTAATGTCTCCCAGCTCCCAGAAAGAGAACCTGACTGGCCAAGGTCAAGTGTCTACCCCTCTCCTGACCACCTGAATGAGGACCAGGCTCCTCATCCAACATGCTTGTTAGAGGGCTGTGACTTGGGTGGACCTTCTAAAAGAGGGTCTACACTACACTTGGGACTACCCCAACCAAAGGTAATGCCTCTTTCACAACAGCCCAGCACATAGGCAAAGATGCAATGCTGTCAGCCCCAAGTTTCTCTCTGAATCACTCCCTTTTCTTTCCATTAATTCCAACACCACAAAGAGACCACTGTCTTCTGGAGATGAAAAAAAAAAGAAAGCTTAAAGAAAGTTTGGGGTTGGACTGGGACAGCTGTCCAGAGAAAGAGACATGAGATGTGGGCCAGGGAGAGTGCCTCTAGGACTACCATGAACTCAGGAGTCAGAGGGCCCCTCAGAACTGCAGGCTCGAGGTGGCTCATGGAATTCTTCCTTCCAGTTCCTTTAGGATTCATTTCTGGGGATGCTGATGTGGCCTCGAACACCTGATCTGGCAGCCTCAAGCCCTCTCCAGGCACTGGGGGGATCTGGTTTGAAGCCTGACTTTGCCCTAGACCCTCCCTCAGCTCCAGAATATTTTTTTAGTAAATAAAAACAAAAGAAATGCCTTTCCCTTCACTTATCAGTTCAGCACTTGTTAAACGCAGGATCACATACAAGTACTTTTTATGAGGAACTGTTCATGCCAGGGCCTACGTTTGCAGCGATGCCAAGCAGGCTGGGATGGCCCTCTCGGTCCATGTCACAGGGGACCAGGCCAAATGGGACAAAGTTCACTAGGAAGATTCACGTTCCTCTCTCCCCTCACCAGCTTCCCAGCCTCAGAGCTGCACAGGGCTGTCCACACAGCAGTCACCCTAGCTGGCGCCCGGCTCCCTGGGCTGCTCCCCAGAGAGAAGACATCCAGGCCCCATTTGGCCCCCCCGGGCCCTTGGGATGAGACAGCATGTGATCAGCAATCAGGGCGTATTTACTTTGCTATTCTGTCAAGCTCTGGAATGAATTTGGCCACCACAGAAATCATTTGGGATCCAGCTAGTCTGGGACTCTGAGACACAGAAGGAGTCTCCTCATGGGGACTTCTGACAGCTGCTGGATGCCCACCTGATGGACATATGATTTTCTCAAACTCCTGCCCTCAAGCAATCCTCCCACCTCAGCCCCCTAAAGTGCTGGGATTACAAGCATAAGCCACTGCGTCTGGCTGGCACATGGTTTCCTTATTTACGCTGTCCTGGAGGAGATGTCTAAATGCCGGCTACAGAGGAAGGACGTTTCAGCTTCAAGTGCACTTGACTCTGGCTGTGCTGCCCTGGCCTTTAGGTCCTGACTTACCCATTTGGGGACAATAAGGGCCCCACTGCTTGACAGAGTCCCCTTGATCACATCCAGGATGTGCTAGAATGTTGAGAAGTCCTGTGGTCTTCATCCTGACCTGAAGTCCCCATCTCGGGGCTGTTTACTGAAGGGCAGTCACCCACATCTTGCCTCTGCCCCAGTAGGCAGGAGGCTCCCGGGTGGTGGAAAGTGGCAGCCTGGTGACAGCAGGCACTCCAGACCCTCCAAGGCCGCACCCATCCAATGTCCAATGTCCACTTCTGGCCCAGAAGGTCCTAGAACATAGGGATTCTGTGAAGAGTGGCGAGTGGCTCAGTCCTGGGTCATTCCTTTCCACCCTCTTCGAGAACCAGTTTTAGGGGTGAACACCGCGTCAGCCCCTCATGCTACTCTGGACAAAATGTGGGTCGTGGCTGCTGCCCACAACTTCTCCCTGGGACCCCAAGGGCTGCGTCCTCCCTGCCCCTTGGTCTCCACGTGGGCCCCAAGCAGGGGGTAGTGCAAAACTAGGATTTGGGAAAGACCTGGGTTCAAATTCTGGTTGTATTACTGCCTAGCTGTGTGATCTTAGGCAACTTCCTCACTTTCTCTGAGCTTTCATGTCTTTATCAGTAAAGTGGGGAAAATAACACCTCCTTCACGAGTTCTGGTGTGGACCAAATGATGCCAGACAGGGCTCTATCTCACACCAGTGGGGTGGTTCAGGGCTCACATCCCCCTCATTCTCACACACGAGGTGATCAGGTTTCCTCGATTGTACCAGTGGAAGCAGGCAGGCGGTCTTTCCACCTGAGTGCCCTGCCACTAAGGCTTGGGAACCCTACACTTCTTAGTTTTAGCTTCCTCCCCTTGGGGAGAAGGTGGGTGGACCCCCCAGGCAGCAGGACGCTGCAAGTCCTTTGGCTTGAATCCCTTGGGCTGATCTTTCCCCAGGTCCATAGGACACAATACTGTGTGGCTTTCAGGGATGCTTTTCAGCTCTGGCCAAAGGTCCCTGGGCTCCAGAGGAGAGATGCGTGGGATGATGGTGGCTGAAGATTTTATTCCAAGCAAGCCAACCTGGTCCACACCAGGGCCTCCGACATCACCATCTGGGCTCATGCTCTGAACTCAAAGTAGCAGTCTCTCTTCTGCCGCTCTTGTGGAGAGACCCTCTTGCCGGATGGGAAGGTCTGGTAGGTCTTCAGGTTCTCAGGGGACACTCTGAAAAGGTGCCACTTCTGCTTCGGGCTCAGAGGAGGCCTGTGGGCAAGGATGGACTGGTGTCACCCCGTGTGCCAGGAAGGGTAGGAGACGCGTGCCCAGTCACAGCCCCAGCACCCACTCGTCAGCCCACACTGACCCTGCCAGCTGCTCACCAGTTTAACATCTAAGTCACCCCTGACCTGAGATGATGATAACTTCTGTTTGTATAACAGTCTGGTGGTTAAGAGTGAAGACACGGTAGATTCAGTGGCTCACACTTATAATCCCAGCACTTTGGGAGGTGAGAGGATCCCCTGAGCCCACGAGTTGAGATCAGCCTAGGCAACTTAGTGAGATCCCGTCTCTATAAGAAATCAAAAAAGCCGGGCTCGGTGGCTCAGCCTGTAATCCCGCGCCTTTGGGAGGCTGAGGTGAGTGGATTGCCTGAGCCCGTGGGTTCAAGACCCACCTGGGCAGCGAGACCTCAACTCTACAATAAATCAAAAAATCAGCCAGGCATGGTAGCACATGCCTGTAATTCCAGCTACTCGGAAGGCTGAGGCGGAAGGATCGCCAGAGCCCAGTAGGTCGAGGCTGTGGTGGCCGGGAGCAGCTACTGCACTCCAGTCTGGGCGACAGAGTGAGACTCCAACTCAAAAAAAAAAAAATCAAAAAATTAGCCAAGCATGGTGGCATGGACCTGTATTCCCAGCTACTCAGGAAGCTGAGATGGGAGGATCTCTTGAACCTGGACGTTTGAGGCTGTGATGAGCCGTGATCATGCCACTGTACTCCAGCCTGGGGGACAGAGTGAGACTCTGACTTAAAAAAAACAAAAAAAGAGTGAGGACATGAACGTCAGACTGACTGGATGGGTTCTGGCCCCAACTCCTGCCAGAAGTGTGCATATGTAGGAATAGACTTGTGTTGGTGTGATCTTCCTAGCTTTGTTTGACAAGTACATAAGGTCTTGCACATATAAAGCATTTAGCATGACACTGGACAAGGAGTGAGCACTCAGAAACTGCTGTAAGGAATGACAACGGTGATGATGGTGATAGCATTCCAGAAGGGGGTAGACTTGCCCCAGGCCAAAGAGCCGATCGCTGACCCACTCCCCCTAACCTCCTGGCTGGTCCTCTGCATTGGGCATGAAACTGTCAGCAGCAGTGCTGGCTGTCAGGCAGTTTGGACATAGAGTAGAGTTGGAATGTCCCGGGCTCTCTGCAGCTGTGGGCGGGGCAGTTCCTGGCCAGAGTGGTCTCCAGAGACCTGTGCCCAGGACAGACCTGTGTCCAGGGACAGACTGACTCAAAGCCACCCCACGCATGGAGATAGCCAATCCAGAATCCTAGAGTTGGTGATGGGAGATATGGAATCCTTTCCAAGGTCAGCCCTGCCACTCAGCCCGGCCACCCAGTACAAGTCCTCCAGGCAATCATCAAGTCTTAGTTTCCCTATTTGTAAAATGGGTCTATCTTTCTTGCAAAGAGGAACTTTTAGAGGCAGTAATATCTGTTTTTTTAACTATTAAAGTTTATGGAAAAAGAAAAAACTCTATCAGACGCTACTTTATCAATAAGGATGATGGTGAGACTTGGGGCTCTTTAGGCAAGCAAGGGGCAGTCAGCATGGAGCTAGAAACCCCAGACAGGAGAGGTTGTTGCGGGGGAAGGGGAGAGCAGGAGAGCGCTGGGAGGCTCGCCAGCCTCCCAGGTCCAGGTACCAGCCATCACCCTACCCCACCTCATGACACCTGGTGTGGACCTGTGGTACTCAAGCCTGGGCATCAGGAAGGAGAAAGAGCAGAAACCGCGTGCCCGGATCATCTCTCAGAGCAGAGCGGGCCTTCTCTGGAGAAAGAAGCTCTTCTGGGTAAAAGCAGTCAGGGGTTGGCCGTGTTCGATGGACTGTTGGACTTTCGAGACATTGTCAAGGCCTTGGGAGAACAACATAGGTATGGCCGAGGCTGGGGGAGATTCCTACTCAGTGTAGTGCCCCCAGAGTCCGCCAGAGGGCAGCATATCTCTGCCGCTCACGGCCACCGCGCCCGCGTTTGGACTGGTGTAGCTGCAAGGCTGCGTTTTGCAGGGTTTGCATCTGGCCGGGCAAGCGTTCTTCCCGATTCGTCCATTCAGGCTCCTGGCACCCTCCTGAGGCTGCCGAAGCCCTGACCCCTGCTCTGTAACGGTCACGCCCTGAGCTGCTGGTGTTTCGGGCAGGGCCCTTAGCTCGTTCTGCGTCCGGGGCTTTGCAGACCGGGCCAGAGCAGATGACCTGTGGGTGTGTTTGCGGACCACCGGGATGACGGGAGGCAAGCACTCACAGGTCGGTGGGGATGGGGTACCGGTCAGGCTCCCTCACAGGCAACACGAAGTAGGGGACGCGGGGCACCGTGCCGGTCTTGTCTCGATAGTACTTCCGATGTTGCTGTGCTGTCTGCAGCCAGGCGGAGGGAGAGAGACAGGGCTTCGTGAGCAGCAGTGACCCCAGGCGCCTGCAGTCCATATCTGGCTGAACGAGTCCTAGAACTGCAGGGGCCACAGCTCAACTGCAGACCAGCTGGATGTCCTCTCTGAGCCTCAGCTCCTCATCTGTCTGGTGGGGATAATGACACCCACCCTACCAGCTAAGCTGGAAGCATGAAAACCCAGGAGCTGTGTGAGCTGTGTGGGTGTTGGCTCCCCCTTTCCTTCTCTCCCAGGCAGGGTATGTTCCATGTAAGAGCCAGGACGGAGGGGCGAGGCCTTCACAGACCCATGGAGATTCCCACATTTCCTTGGAGGCTGCCGGCATGGGCCCATCCTCCCCTAGGAAGCCGCCTTACTCATCCTGGGGCAGAGGCGCCTGTGTCCCTGCAGTCAGGATGGGAGAGTGGGAGGAGGTTTTCAAGAGAAAGTGATGGAGAGGCTAGGGTTACACAGAGACAAGCCTTCATCCCCACCACAGGGCCAGGGCCAGTTCTGCTTGTGTGCACCCGTGGCCTGTGAATTGTGTCTCGACCAGATCCAGGGAGGCTTTTCTAACTGGTGCAGCAGGATAGGGACAGAGGTGTGGGCTGGTCCCCTTCCTCCTCCTTGATTCCCTGAGCACAGTCTGGCCCAGACTGGGGCTGAGGCTGCCTCAGGGTCGTGTGGGGCGGGGAGGGGTCAGCGGGCACCAGGTGGGCAAATACAACAGCCTGGAGCTGGGGCAGGAATTGGGGGGGCCTTTGCTTATGTGAGAGCCATCCCATGGGTGAATCTCAGACCTTTTACTCAACAGGGAGGTCAGTGGGAGTCCGCAGGGCCAGGAGACTACAGGGGGCAGACGAAGAGGGCAGGAATGTTCCAGAAGCCCCTAGCTCCACCAGCAGTGAGGGTGAATAGGAGCGGGAGCCCCTGGGGGTGGGAGATGGTCAGGGGAGCAGAGTCCTGAGCCTCCCTGTGCCCCCTAGTAATACCCGCCAGGCTCTCTGCCGGCTCAGGGACTCTGAAAAAGCAAGGCAAGGTGCCCTGGAGGATACCCAGTCTCCCCTGGCTCCCAGTCATCATCTCTCTCCTCCCCCCTCCCCATGGTGGGGCTGGCAGGCAGGAGAGGAGGCAGCTCACCTGGTAGAAGCGAGTGAGCTCGGCAGAGCGGTGGCTGTCCAGGTTGAAGCGAGTGTAGCTGGGCATGTGCAGCCAGCGGTCCCAGGCCTGCGCGTGCTCCAAGAGCACCAGTCTGGGGCTGGGGGAGAAGAGGGTTGGGAAGTGGCCGCCCTGGCTGAAGGTGCTGTGGCTTTTCTCCATGGCTGCATTGCGGTGGTCCTGGAAGTACTTGAGGGTGGCGGTGCCATAGGGGGAGCCAAAGGAGAAGGCCACACTGGGGACATGGCCTTGGTACCTGCAGTGGGGATAGGGGGACAGATCATGAAAGGCTTCCGGCCAGTTCTGAGGGACGCCCCCAAAGACAGGGCGAGCTTGAGGGGCGGCGGTCAGCTCTGGCCTTCAGAGGCCTCTGAAGGTGACCGGCCTGCTTGGGACTTTGGGGAAGGCCGAGCGGAAGGGGCTCTGGGCCTCTTCCTCCCACAGAGGTCTCAGGTGTTTACACAGGCCAGAACACCTGGGGCCCTTCAGGCTGCAGGCAAATCACCCTCCCTCAAGGGACCCTGTTTACTCAGGGGCCAGAAGATGTGAGGGGCTTCCCCAGCGCTGACATTCTGCAGTCAACTGACTGGGGAGTGGGGAGCACATAAGAAGTGGGCGGGCACCCAGTCAATGAAAGGCGATGGGCATTCGATGCATTGTAGCCGAAGCCCGGGTTCAGAAGGCTGCTGTCTTGCGCCTAACACAGCGGCCTCCCAAGGTGCCATTCAGGCGGCCTGGAGACCTTGACCAAGGTTCTGGAGACTTGGGTGATACGGTCACTCTCGAGACCCTTGCTTAAGTGACTTGCTCCAAGAGCCAAAGATTTGTTTTGGCAAAGCGAGAGGAGAGTCAGCAACACCCATGGACTCTGGACTTGAGGCAGGCACAGAAAAGATGGAAGCTTTCCAGTACAATCTGAGCTTGTCCTTCACTCCTCACCCTCCAAAATCTGACTTCTGGCCCATGATGCCCTTGACACCGCTCTTCATGAGTTTGCTGGTGCCCTCCCTCCTGCTTGCAGTGGACACTCTAGTTGCTGGCCTTCCTGCAGCACTGGCACTGCTGACCTCACTCTTCTAGAAGCACTGCTCATGACTTGGATGACACCATTGCTCCTTCCTGTTGTTGTCCACCCGCCTCTCTGACCATCCCTTCTCAGTCTCCTCAGAACCCTCCTCCCCTGCCCACCTCTCAGGTGCGGGTTTTCCTCTGGGGTCTGTCTTTGGTGATGGTAGCCACACCATGGCTTGATCCCCACCTGCGTGTGGATGCCCCTGGCCTACAGCTCAGCCTGGAAGTTCTCTGCAAGCTCCAGACTGCTGCATACAACTGCTCGCCAGACATCTCCCTCAGGCATCTCCTGGGCGTGACCTCCCATGTCCTCCTTCCCCGACAGTCTGGCTGTCCAAGTCAGATTCTTGAGTATCCACCTCCCTCGTGTCCCTCAGTCGCCAAGTCCTGTGGCTCCATCTGCTCCACTTGGGCTCAGCCACACACCTTGTGCCTGGACTGTGGCCATAACATCCTCACTGCTCTAACTGCTCTCAGACCCCTGCCCCTCCAATCCATTCTCCACACTTCCACCAGACTGAAATGTCTGGAGTCCAATCCTTAGCATGGTATTCAAGTTCATCTGTGATCCGACCCTGCCCTACCTCTCCAGTCTCATTAGCTACCCACCCCCGAGTCCTGCAGAGCCATTGCAGCTCTCAAGATGTAACTCCTCCCCTCCCCTCCCTCTCTCTACCCCCCCACCCCGGGTTCTTGCCCTGTGCCTTGGGCCTCAGGCTCCTCACCAATAGAATGGGTGCTGGCCTAGAACTGGATAGCATGGTGTCCTTCTTTTCATCTTTGGGAGAAGCGAGGAAGCCGAGAAGAGTGCCTGCTGGCATTCTTCCCACCGCTTCCAAGGCAGGGAACACACAAAGCATGTCCTTTCCTGGTTTCTGTCCCCGCACCCCCCACAGCGGGGCCTCTCCGGAGTCTCACAGCACCGGGTGTTGGCAGCCGCAGAAAGTCTCCACTGCCATTTTCACAGTCCTGTGTCCAGCCTCACTTCTCTTGTCCCTGGATATCACGGATGTGCTGCCTGTGACCCTGGCGGTCCCTACCCTTCTCCACCAGCCTCGGTGCCCTTCTTGCTGGACTCTCGGGTTCCCAGTGAAGGTCAGGCCTCCTCATGACCTGGGAGGACAGGAGGGCTGGGAAGTGCCTTGCTGTCCTCTCCTATGAGGCTCTGTGGTCACCTTGGTGACTTCAGCAGACAGAGTCCTCTTCTCTCCTGCCTAGCCAAGGCCTCATCCCCTGATCCATCTCTCCCTGTTTCTGTCGGCCTCAGTCCTTCCTCCTTGCCATCTTCCTTGTCTCTGTCTTCTTGGCTTCTCCCTTCTAGGCAGATGCATGAGATTTCTGAGGTTGCAGGATCCCAGGAGACCTGCTGGCTTTCCACAGGCCCTTCCTCCCCCTCCACTTCCTGACTTTTTTATTATTATAAAGATGTGGGGTACCATTATTCAGGGTTAGGTATACAAATGTTGATTATGCAGGCCCTCTTGTTGATGAGGTATGCCCCTCCTCCCCTGGCAGTTTCCCTCAACTGCCAATCCCACCGCCCCTCCCCGACAGTTTCCCACTACTGCCAATCAGTTTCTTATAGTATTATAATTGTTCAAGTTCTGCTTATGAGTGAGAACATATGGTACTCTGTTCTGTGTTTCTGTGACATGATCAACTCTAAATCAATTCAAGTTGTTGCGAAGTTCATATGTTTGTCCTTCTTTATGGCTGCAAAATATTCCATTATGTGTATATACCACTTTTTTTAATCCAGTTCAGCTTCGGTAGACAACATGGTTGGTTCCATGTTTTTGCTATTGTGAATGGAGCTGCAGCAAACATACGTGTGCAGGTATCTTTTTTGTAGAATGATTTGAGTTCCTCCGGGTATATTCCCAATAGGGGAATTGCTGGGTCATATGGAAGGTCAATTTCTAGTTCTTTCAGAAGTCGCCACACTGTCTTCCAAAGAGGTTGCACTAGTTTGCATTCCTACCAGCAGTGTAGAAGTGTTCCTTTTTCTCCACATCCTCACCAGCATCTGTTGTTTGTTTTGTTAATGATGGCCATTCTTACTGGGTTAGGTAGTATCTCAATGTGGTTTTCATTTGCATTTCTCTGATGATGAGTGAGGCTGAGCACTTTTTCATGTGTCTGTTGGCTGCCCATATATCTTCTTTTGAGAAGAGTCTGTTCATGTCTTTTGCCCACTATTTATTGGGACTGTTTGTTTGTTTTTTCCTTTCAGCACATTTGAGTTCCTTGTAGATCCTAGATGTTAGGCCTTTGTCAGATATACAGTTGGCAAATATTTTTTCCCATTCTATGGGCTGTCTCCCTGCTCTCTTGATGGTTTCTTTTGCTTTGCAGAAGCTCATCAGTTTGATGAGGTCCCACTTGTCTGTCTTATTTCTTAAGGTATGGGCATTTAGAGTTCTGAATAGGAATTGGTTGCCAGTTCCAGTTTCCATAAGGGTGTCTCCTACATTTTCTAAGATTCTTATAGTTTGAGGTTTCAAGTTTAGGTCTTTGATCCATTTAGAGTTAATTTTTGTGTATGGTGATAGGGAGGGGTTCTGTTTCAATCTTCTGCATGTGATCAGCCAGTTTTCCCAGCACCATTTACTGAATAGGTTCTCCTCTCCCCAGTGGTGGTTGTTGGAGGCTTTGTCAAAGATGAGTAGGTTGAGGAATTGAGGCTTTGCTTATGGAATCTTTATCCTGTTCCATTGATCTATGTGCCTGTTCTTATACCAATACCAGGCTGTTTTGATTACTGTACGCTTATAGTAAAGTTTGAAGTTTGGAAGTGTGATATCTCCTGCTTTGTTTCTTTTGCTAAGGATTATTTTGGCTATTCGTGGTTGTTTATGTTTTCATATAAATTTCTGTATTGTCATTTCCAATTCTGAGAAGAATGATGTTGGTAATTTAATGGGTATTGCATCAAATCTGTAGATTGCCTTTGGTAAGATAGACATCTTAATGTTGATTCTTCGTATCCATGAGAATGGAATATTTTTCCATTTGTTTGTGTCTTCTTGGATTTCTTTGAGCAACGTTTTGTAGTTCTCATTGTAAAGTTCTTTCACTTCTCTGGTTAGGAAGATGCTGAGGTATTCCTTTTTGTGTGTGTGTGGCTATTGTGAATGGGATTGTGCTTTTAATTTTGGTCTCTGCCTGCTTGTTATTGGTGTATAGGAATGCAACTGTCTTTTGCACATTTATTTTGTACCCTGAGACTTTGCCAAAGTCTTTTATCAGTGCAAGCAGGTTTTTGACAGATTCTCTTGGATTTTCAAGGTATAGGATCATGTCATCAACAAAGAGGGATAACTTGACTTCCTCTTTTCCTATTTGGATATCCCTGATTTCCTTCTCTTTTCTAATTGCCCAAGCTAGGACTTCCAACACAATGTTGAACAAGAGGGCTGAGAGTGGGCAGTGTTGTCTTGCTCCAGTTTTCAGGGGAAATGGTTCCAGTTTCTGTCCGTTTAGCAATGTGTTAGCTGTGGGTTTATCGTAGATGGCACTTACCATTTTGAGGTATGTGCCTTCTATACCTAGGTGTTTGAGGGTTTTTATCAAGAAGGGATGCTGGATTTTATCAAAAGCTTTTTCTGCATCTAATGATATAATCATGTGGTTCTTGTTTTTACATCTGTTGATGTATTTAATTATACTTATCACTTTCTAAGGAATACCCTGCACCTTCCACCTTTGTCTCTCAACTCGTGCCCTTTCCTTGACCTCCCTGTCTGATTTTAGACCTATTTCCTAAATGTGAACCTCTACTTCTAATGAAAGTGTATAAGGTCATTTGACTGCCACATCCAGTGTCCTTGGTTCACACTGTCTCTGCAACATTTGCACTAGTAGGGAAGCTTATCTGGAAAGAAACCTAACCTGAGAGGTACAAGCAGAGTTCCTGAAACCTAACAAAAATGTAGATACAGTGAATCCAGAGGTGGCAGAGACGAGCCAGCGGGAGGTCTGCTTCCTTTGTCCTGAGGAGCCACCCACGCCGAGGGTGCTCTGCACCAGGTCTGTCTTCGTGTCTCACTTGTTCTGCGCAGTGGAGGAGGAGGAGCATCTGAGTCGTGAGCCGAAGGGAAGAAATCAGCTGCCTGTTGCCCACCCCACCCTCCTCCTCTTCCTGGAAGCGCAGAAGCAGACACTACCGTTTCACGCCTTCAGGCG